GGGACAGTGATCGCATTGCCTATGAAGTGAAAAGACTCACTCACCTTCTCAGAAAGCACTACATGCTCAGTAGCCCCAAAAAGACAGCTGAACATGGCCGGATCGAAGAAGGAGAAGCCTGAAGCATGCTCTTGAAGACAGGCAAAAATCCCTTTCTGTGCCAGGTGGTGTCTGGCAAGCTCATGCTGGCGTGTATATGAGGCGCACAAGGTGGGCAGCACCTCAGAGCCACTCGGGATTCTGGATCTGATGATCTCATTGGTCTTGTTGAGGTTGTTCTCGAACCTGGCACGCTTTGCGGGAGGAAGGAATTCGACCGAGTCGTAAATTTTGCATTCCGATGGTGAAAGCAGCAGCTGTGAAACCCACATGGAAGGCAGTCTGAAATGATAGGCCTGATCGGTCCAATGGGACCTTGGGATCATGGGCAATTTGAGAACGAACGGAAAGGCCTGGCTCTGGATGTCCGCCCTAGTCCAAACGCCCAACCAACGAGTCCTGGCATGTGCAACCATGGAATTATATGGAGTGACTTGGTCCCAAACAAGGCGGTAGCCTAGCACGTGAGCAAAGGCTTTCACTAAACGAAAATGAGGATGTGCCACAACATCGTCGGCACACTCCGCAGAGATCACAATTGCCTGCAAAGAAAAAGCGAGTTCCAAAGCATCCAGAAACGCTTTGCCGTTGCTATCAGACAGCCCTGCTTTCAAACCACCCTTGCTCCATGATTGGCAAGGGGGTGACATGGTCACCATCAAGTTGGCTTGTGTTCGACAGGCCTCGATGATGCTCGGCTCACCGACTTCTCCACACAACCCAACAAATTTTCCATGGCTCCACGATCGACCCGATGTCAAGGGCAGTGTTCGGACAGGTGTAGCATACTTCGCTTGCCAGATTGTCATGACTTCACTATCATGATCAATGAACAGTTCTTGTCCAACACAAATGGCCCTCGCCTCTGAGTCCAACCACTTCAATCCATGGTGCCACCCACAGAAAGCACCACAGAAGAGGTGCGCCACGTCCCATGGGAGAGAGGAAACCAGCTCTGGTTTGAAACAGATGTGTGCTTTATCAAGCTTGATGATGCTGCTGCTGGGTTCAACTCGTTCTCCAGAGCACACAATGTCAATGCCTTTGCACAAATGTAAGCACCTGTTCCGAGGATCACGAAAGGAGACGCGGACCCTCGAGTCGTCATTGGATTCAACAAAGCCTGCGGCAGGTGTGAACCATAACGCTCGAAGATCAACCCACTCATCCCCATAGTCCAAAACCTCACCAGCAATGAAAGTCCTGGCCCCCACGGTTGGCGTGGGTCCAGGTTTCAACCCCGAGAAAAGGCCTCGGACATGGCAGTCATCGATCTCCTGGATAAGATCCCGCAGACTGGGGTCCAGCAAGTCCATGGCGAAAGTCCTCTATCGAAGCAGGAGGAACAACAGGTCACGGGAAGCGGCTGGCACTCTGTTGTAGAGTGCCTAGTGGACACCGTCCCCGTTCCTCGCGGAACGGCAGACGGCCGCAGGCGGCCGGACGCCTAAGCCTTCAGGCTTTGGGCCTTGTGGCTCCTTACTACTAGTAACAAGAAGCTACTAGTAACAAGTGCATCGCTACTAGGAACAAGTGCCTTACTAATAGGTAACAAGAAGCTATTAGAAATTAGAAACAATGTTCGCTACTAGTAGCAAGTGCCTTACTACTAGTAACAAGAAGCTACTAGTAACAAGTGCATCGCTACTAGGAACAAGTGCCTTACTACTAGTAACAAGAAGCTACTAGTAACAAGTGCATCGCTACTAGGAACAAGTGCCTTACTAATAGGTAACAAGAAGCTATTAGAAACAATGTTCGCTACTAGCGAGCACTGCCGAAATGGATGTGGTTCCTCGGACGCGTTCCTCGTGAGGATGAACGCTTTGAATTGGACATCCGTTTGTCGCGTCAGCAGGTGGCAGATATTCAACCTCGAATGGTTGAGGCAAGGAAGCTTCTTTGGGAATCGTTTCACCTGTAGTAACAAGCTTTTTAGTACGTCTTTGAAGCTTCTTAGTAACTAGAAGCTTACTAGGTGAAGGCCTGAGGGCCATTGCTATTAGGTTGGGGGCCATCTCTTCTAGTAACAAGCTCGTAACAAGAGGCATGTATTCAATCATGTGCAAAAGAGGCAATGTTGTTCACAAATGTTTTATTTGCAAAAGCAAGAAAGACGTACTAGGAACAATGACGCTACTAGGGGCTCCTGGCCTTACTACTAGGAACAAAGGACGCTACGAACGGAGCAAAGGGCATCGCGTCTGGGAGCGATCGGACGCTTCAAACGGAACAAGATTCCTTGCAAAGGCCAACCGCATTGCTTCGGGTTTTGGTGTCCAGCTCCTTGGCTCAAAATCGCATAAAAGCAAGGCTGTCTTGTTTCAGAAACGGGAAGACGCAATGGCCTTTTACCTAGTAGCTTCCAACCTAATAGCAATGACCTCGACCCTAGGATTTGATTGTTCTAGCTTCTGTTTTGCATTGGTTCTATGCTTTTTGTCAATTCTGTTCGACGTGAGACAGAAAAATGCGCTCCCTTAGTTTCACAGCGTTTTCCCTTTCCCTTTCTTCCCTTTCCGCAGGTACAGTTTTCATTTCGTGGATGCCATTGATCCCAGGCTGGGGGGTTGTTGTTCACTGGCGGCTGGCGTCCACCCTGTCTACTAGTAGAAATATGTAGAAATACCAGGAGCGCCCCTAGTAGAGTCCTTGCTCCTAGTAGCGATGCCTTTTGTTCCTAGTAGCTTCTTGTTACTAGTAGCAGGGTTTCATGGCACATCTGCAGATTTTTTGAAAGTCGGGAGCATACCACTAGTAGCAAGAAGCGGGCACAAGGGGTGGATTGAGTTGCGGCGCTAAAGACCTACTAGTAGCATCCTTGCTCCTATTTGCGATGCCCGGAGCCACTAGTAGCTTCTGGCTACTAGTAGCATCTGAGGTCATTTTACGAACGCCCTACACGGCGAGATCAGCTCCCCATAATTTGCAACTTCTTTCCACACCGGCATCAAAGCGGCAAATCCTTTTAATATTCAATAAGGGAACAAGTGCATCGCTTCTAGTAACAAGTGCCTTACTAGTAGTAACAAGAAGCTATTAGAAACAATAAACTTCAAGTTATTACTCGCCCGCCCCTGAACAAATCCAACGATTAGATGATAGGTGCAAAGACGTGATACGACAACACCTGCGGTTCTTATCCTTCAGGCAACATCTCACATATTCGTTCAAGCTGGGAGTTTTCACTGGCTACCATCAAGAAGCTACTAGGAGCAAGGACGCTACTAGGGGCTCGTGGCCTTACTACTAGGAGCAAGGACGCTACTAGGAGCAAAGGGCATCGCTACTAGAAGCGATCAAACTGCAGCGTTGCAACATCCTTCTCACATGCAACTGACTCGGCGGGACCCCCGTGTGTACAGCATATACTCTGCAGCGTCTCATCGACTTGGCTCTAACTCGAACATGTCAGGGCATTTTTTCCGGGAATTCTCTGAGCACTTCGCTTGTTCTCCCTTGCGTCTTGGGGAGGCCATTGCTATTAGGTTGGAGGCCATCGCTACTAGGAGCAAGGACGCTACTAGGGGCTCCTGGCATCGCTACTAGGAGCATTACTTTCTAGTTTCTTTACTAAGTTCTTGTGTCTTTCCTTTTTTTCGCTTTCAATGGTTTTTCACTTGTGTTTTCGCGCACTGCCCCCGGCCTCACCGGCCATAAGTTTTGACTTGAACAAACCAAGAAAACGGTGCGTGTGCTCCTGGCGTCCTCGATTGTCCCTTCTTACTTAGGTCATTGTGCTTACTAGAAGCGCAACAAATGAGTCGGTAGGATTAGTGAGATGCTGGCGCAAGTACAAACCACGCGTCACACAACCTTCGCATGGTGCAACAATGGCGTTGAGGAAATCAGTCTTTAGGGCCCAGCCCGGCTGGGAGGCCATCGCTCTTAGGTTGGAGGCCGCTCCTAAGGTAGCCCAGTGGGGTCGAGTCGGAAGAACGCACTAAGCCAATTTGACCAAAGCGGGACCATTCTTGAGAAACAAAAGACAAACCGAACGGCATGTTCTGTTTCAAGAGACCTTAGGTCTGTTTGTTCGTCAAAAGACATCAATACTTTGAGTGTTTTTTTGGAGCCACGTTAGGTCTCGCCGTGCTACATTTGATGATGGTGGAGATGAAGCAGTGGCGCCCAAGCGATTGCTTTTGCAGATCAAGGCGCCGATCCCGTTTTGGATTTCACTACCGTGTTTAAAAGATATTATGGCGCAGGCCTAACAGAAAAACATATAGAGAAAGGTCCAAAGCAAAAAGCAAGCGAAAAAGAGAAGGGTAACACACAATGACAAAATGCAAAAGGAAGAAAACAAAGGGCAAAGGACAAAACATGGAAGAAAGGTCAAAGAGAAAAGCTAAAATAGTCTGAAGAAAGGTCTAAGGGACAAAGGACAAAGAATGGAGAAAAGGATCACGTGTGTAAAGAAAAAGCAACCAAAAAGAGGAGCACGTGTTAAAAGAAGAAGGGTCTAAAGAAGAAAAGGGTAAACACTAAGGAAGGATGCATTTGGAGAAACAACTAAAAATGAAAGAGTCTAAAGACGAAAAAAGGGACAAAGGGCCCAAAAGAAAGGAAGAAGTAACGGAAGAAAGGTCTAAAGAAGAAAACAAGAAAAAGGGAAGACGGAAGACAGAATAACACAGAAAAGGAAAGGTTGACAAGAGAAAGGATTCATTTCACTACCCGTTCTCAAGAACAATGAGCAACTTGCCAATGCGAAGCATTATGCGAAGCATTATGCGAAGCACTATGCGAAGCACTATGCGATGCATTTGAATATAGTTGTTCTTCTTTGAACGTTCTCACTTACAGCAAGTTTTCGGTATTTCAAAAAGGAAGCGAAAGAGCATTCGTTTGAGTTCGCTTCTTTCCAGTGCGACAGGCTGAGCAGTCCTCGACCGAGAAGAAACAACTGTGGTCGATCCAGTTTCTTTTCATGGGATTCGGCGTTCGGTGTTCTCTCACCCTCACCCCCTTGTGGGCTGTGTGGCATGTTGTGGCACACTTGCAATTCCATTCTTTGGGTAGAGGTTTTTCACGGTTTCTCTAGGCACATTTTCATAGAAAGTAAGGACCAAAAGACTTACGCGAGCATGGTGGTGAGGATACCTCGGTCCGAACGAAACAAGAAATCAAGATGAACCAGGCGATTGGGACATCAGGAAATGGACTCAATTGAGACATCACGACGGCATTTCAAAATAGCGATGCCCTTTGCTCCTAGTAGCCTTCCTGCTCCTAGTAGCAAGGCCAGGAGCCCCTAGTAGCGATGCCCGAAATACTCCTCTTGTCCATCAATCGAGGAAATTTCAAGATCGCTTTGTGAAGATGTTGGGCTTTGCAAATCGGCCAGCGGGTCAAGCAACAACGGAGGAGGACGTGCTGTGTGACGTGGAGATCTCTCAACATCATTGATATATCATTGCTATTCATTTGGAGGCCATCGCTTAATTAGTAACAAGAAGCTTCTAGGGGCTCCTGGCCTTACTACTAGGAGCAAGAACGCTATTAGGGACTCCTGGCACCGCTACTAGGAAGAAAGGTCAGGAACCGTCCAGTTCCACCATTCGGTTCCGAGGGAGCACAGCACCGCGCTTCGTCGACAGGACTTTGACATTTTTTGGGACAATCTAGAGCCGCTCGGCCCATTCCGAGAAGCTACTAGGAACAAGTGCATCGCTACTAGGAACAAGTGCCTTACTAGTAGTAACAAGAAGCTATTGGGAGCAAGAACGCTACTAGGAGCAAAGTGCATCGCTACTAGGAGCAAGGCCGCTACTAGGGCCTCCTGGCCTTACTAGGAACAATAAAGCTACTAGTGACAAGTGCATCGCTACTACTAACGAGGGCATCACTACTAGTAGCAAGAAGCTACTATTAGCGCCTTCTTTGCCTTCTTTAGAGGTGCTTGCCTAGTTTGGCCCGGCTGAGGCATCAACTTGTTGGCACCGCAGCGATTGGAGTAACACCCCTGCTGAAGCTGGACTTGGCTGCCTGGTGGAAATTGCCTTCTTTTGTTCGCTCTTAGGTTGGAGGGCAGACCGGCCTTTAAAAAATGAGCCCAAAAGAAGTAACTTAAATTAAACTAAAATGAAGTAACTTAACTTAATAGTTATAGCGGAGCAATGGATGTTTGCCAGTCTTCAGTTGCTCCGTGCTTGCCAAGGTGAGGGAGTACATTACATTGCGAGACTTCTCGGGCAACGTCTCAGGCATAGACTGGGCATATAGATGCTCAATTTTGTTCGGTGATACCTAGTAGTAAGAATGCTCCTAGTAGCGATGCCAGGAGCCCCTAGTAGCGATGCCCTTGTTACTACTAGCAATGGCCTTCTACATGAATTCATTGATTCGGGCGCTGTGATGCCAGGTGCTGTCGAAGTGAGCATGCGCATGTGTTTGAGTTCCAAGCCTTCCATGATGCGAATCAGCACAGCTGCCCCGGACTCAGCGTCTCGCCCTTTTGCGACCGATCAGGGCCTTACTAGTAGTAACAAGAATTAGAATAGAAAGTTTGATTAGAATTAAAATTACTACTAGGAGCAAGGACGCTACTAGGAGGTTGGAGGCCAAATCAAAGGTTCGTTTTGATTTGGGTTTCTTCAGCCGTTCTGAGGCCGGAAGTGGAGTTCTAAAGGACCAGGAGGTGATTGGCAGCGCCATTGGGCTCAAAGACAATCAGAAATCAGAAAATTGAAGTCTTACAAAGGCACTCCAGGCCTTACTACTGGGAGCAAAGGAACTTAATTTAGTGTCACTCAGCTAGCTGTGACCGATTGAGGTGTCCTTCGGACGACTGTCTTATGAAAACGCTGAGAGCAAGAACTGGCTTCTTGGAGGATAGATGCTAGAACTTGTTTTGCATAAAATGTTTGAATAGGTCAATGAAGAAATTTTGTTCGGAACCAGAAGCTCAAGTTGACAGAATCGTGATTGCCTAAAACAAGCTTATATAACAATTATATAAATGTGCTTCTTCCACCCCACTATAGCGATTATGGCCTCCATCCTTGTAGCGATGGCCTCCAACCCTAAGTTTCCCTAAAAATCTAGAAACCAAATGAATAGTGCGAGCGCTATCCTGCGTCCTGTCTGTAGTAGCGTTCCTTGTAGGTACTAGCTAGCTCTACTCTAGCTAGCTACCTCAACTTCTTGACCTCTAGCGGCCTTCCCCCCCGCGCGCGTGCGCGCGAAAAAGCTCATAAACTAATAGTGTTTAAACTAAATCCACAAACCGCTTCTTTAAATTTACTTTAAATTAATTCTAAAAAGCTTCTTGTTACTAGTAGTAAGGCACTTGTTACTACTAGCGTGGCACTTGTTACTACTAGTAAAGCCTTGAATGGAATTACAAACCGCTCCGAGGGGAAGCTTCTTCGTGCGCTTTTCCTGGTTCGACACGGAGGGCCGCATGGAGCACGTGTCTCCGGCCGCGCAAGCGGAAAACCTGCAGCACCTCGGGTCCGAAAAACTAAAAACTAAAACAATGTGTTTTATTTTTTTTAAAGTTGTATTTGTTGTCTTTCGTTTTTTTGTTCTTTCCTTTGTTGTTTTCGTGTTTTTCTTTCTCGTTCCACCTTTTTGGCGATCCGAGGTATACCTTCGAGTTCAAACAGACTTGCAGCCCCTTTGCCTGAGCAAACCACCCGTGGTGGCCCGTGATCACATGTGATCGCCAAAAATCAAAGCGGCCTGAGATCTGAAACCAAAATTAGGAACGATCGGACGCTAGGAGCTCCTGGCCTTACTAGGAACTAGAAGCCTCTAGTGACAAGGAGCTACTAGGAGCTTTTTCGCGCGCTACTAGGGGCTCCTGGCATCGCTAGTAGGAGCAATGTTCGCTACTAGGAGCAACGGGCATCGCTACTAGGAGCGATCGGACGCTATTAGGGTGGAGGGAACTAGGAACAAGCGGCCTGAGATCTAAAACCTGATTTCTTAGGCGAATCTTTCTTGAAGTTCCTTGAGGACGGCGTGATGGCACTCCAGGCAGGGTTGATTTGCTCAGCGCGAGGGCAGATCAAAAGATCCCACTTGTCATTTGCAGCGTCCCTTGAATGGGCGCCAGTCCATACTAGGTTGGAGGCCATCACGATTCATATCTCAAAAGAAGATTGAGGTAATGCACTTGTTACTAGTAGCGTCCTTTGCTCCTAGTAGCGATGCCAGGAGCCCCTAGTAGCGTCCTTTGCTCCTAGTAGTAAGGCCAGGAGCTCCTAGTAGCGTCCTTTGCTCCTAGTAGTTGAATGAGGTTGGAGGCCATTCCAGGCGATGTGAGGGCCCTGAGGGTCCCCTAGTGCACGCTACGTATTCTTGATGCAGGTGCGCGCCTATGACAGAGGCGTTGCTGCAGGTGAATTAGACATCGTCAAGCAGAAGCTCAAGTTCACGGAGGTGCGGAGAACCGTGACGATTGACATCACACCGTGAAACACGCGGAGAAGAGGTAACTAGGTTGGCGGCAACCCGTTGTTGGCCATTTGTGTGGTTGTCTTGCCCGTTGTTGCCATAATGCGGAATTCGTCAGAAAAAAGAACAAAAAATCGAATCCTTCTTCTTTCTGGAGTTTAAAGGTCGGGGGCGTCGCCGAAGTCCACAGAGTGATTGTAAGCAGGCTGAACGAATGAAAGGCACGACCTATCATTCAGGATTTGATACCGAGCACAAGGGGGCCGAAAATTGGGCTGGAGGAAATCGCTACTAGGAGCAAAGGACGCTACGAACGGGGCTCCTGGCCTTACTACTAGGAGCAATGTTCGCTACTAGGAACAAAGGGCATCGCTACTAGGAGCACCCTAGTAGGTTGGAATTGGAAATTGTTTCTATCGAAACTCCGTGTTTCAGGATGAGTTGGAGAGAGTGAAGAACCAGCTCTTGGAGGCTTGGCCGTGATGTGGTGCACCATCTGAGGGGCTGTGTGCAGGCGGTGCTGATATACGGGGTGTGTAAGAGGCGCTGATGTGCTGGTTTTAGTATTCTGCTGCCAGTCTGCAGGTCCATGTTGTGTTTGTGGCGGTGCTGAAACCTGAAGCAGTTGCCTAGCATAAGCCAAGCGCAGCACGACAACTTTTGTTGCCAGGACTCCTCTAGATACCAAGAAGAATTGCAAGAAGCTCGGGTTCGGGTGCTTCTTGGTTTAGACTGCTTAAGAGTATCGACAAGATAAGATGTTGAACTAAGCATGTGTGGCATGCGGGGTATGGCATCTGAGTCATCTGATATGTTAGGTTGGAGGCCATCGCTACTAGGGTGGAGGTCATTGCTAGTAGCAAGAACCTACTAGGTGGAGGCCACCTACTATTCTAATTCTGATTTCCTGCTTAGCAAAAAAGCTATTAGTAACAGGTGCATCGCTACTAGGAGCAAAGATGCTTGTTCCGTTCGTAAGGCCAGGAGCCCTAGTAAGGCACTTGTTTCTAATAGCTAACATTGTTACTACTAGTAAGGCACTTGTTACTAGTAGCGTGGCACTTGTTAGTAGTAGCTTCTTGTTACTGCTAGTAAGGCACTTGTTTACCAGAAGCTTCTTGTTCCTAGTAGCGTGGCACTTGTTACTACCAGCATAAGCCGTCGCCCAACGGCCCATGGGAAGATTTCGTTCGTGGGTGCGCAGTTGCCAGGAGCGTGTGGCTCAAGCAAAAGAGGAGGCCGAGAAAAAACAAAGCCTTTCAAAAGGAGGAAAGAGGTCCATCTTAAAGGGGCCTCTCCATGTTTTGCGGGCGAAACTTGGGCACGTGTCAAAACGGTCAACATGTTCTCACCGCCTCTGAAAACCGTTCCAAAGAGGCCAAATTTGAAGCTGCGCGAGCGCAAGCTGCGCAACAAGCTGCGCAAGCTTCGCCCACTTCAGAGGCGAGGCTCTTGAAGCAGAGGCCATCGCTAGTAGGAGCAAGGACGCTACTAGGAGCAAAGGGCATCGCTACTAGGAGCAAGGATGCTACTAGGGTGGAGGTCATTGCTGTTAGGTTCACAGTCTTTGTTTCTGAGGCCGTGGCACCCGTGGTAGCGCAAGCCGATGATGGAGCATGGGAGGATGGGATAGTCGGTTGTCACAAAATGCCGTGCTGCATGCTTTGGTGTCACAGCGGTGTCACTTGCTGGTCCTTTGCTTCCTCCGCTTCCGTTTCGTCTATGGTCATTGCAAGTGGCACAATGCCTTGATTTGTCGAGAGTTTGTTGCTACTAGAAACAAGTGCATCACTTCTAGGAGCAAGGGATTTGCTAGTAGTAACAAGAAGCTATTAGAGTTTGTTGCTTTTTGTTTCCGCTCAGATTTGAAAAGAGGCCATTGCTTGTTTGATACGTTGCTCCGCTTTGCTTTTGTTAGGATATGCGATATGCAACATTGGATGAGGCAAGACAGCAGATCCTTTCCTCAGCTTTCCTTTTTGGATCCTTAGTGGATCTTAGAGACGTCTACACATGGAAAGCATGTTTCCTCGAAAGGAACCAAAAAAGAAGACGAACTAGCATTAGGTATTGTCGGCATCGTTCATTTAATATATTGTTTGCGCTAGTAGGAACAAGTGCATCGCTACTAGGAGCAAAGGGCCTTACTACTAGGAACAAGAAGCTACTAGTAACAAGTGCATCGCTACTAGGAACAAGTGCCTTACTAGCAGGAACAAGAAGCTACTAGGAACAAGAACGCTATTAGGAACAGGTTGGAACCTGACGATGCTCAAGGTAGCACCGTCACATCACATCATCCAACCAGCGATGGCCTCCATCCGAATGGTCCTGATAGCGTCCTTGCTCCTAGTAGTAAGGCCCTGCGCTACTAGTAGCGAACATTGCTCCTAGGCCAGGAGCCTAGTAGCGTCTTTGCTCCTAGTAGCGATGCCCTTTGCTCCTAGAAGCGATGGCCTCCATCCGAAAGCTAGCCCCTTCGATAGCGCCTGCCTTTTTCGCTTTCCAGGTGAAAGCCGAGCTTGTGAGAGCAAGAGGGCAAGTCTTCAAGATACAGCATGACAAGGACCAGTCCAATCAAACATGAAAAGGTTTGGCTACGTTTGCTTTCCTTTTGAGCTTTTGCATGGCTTGGCTGGCGAGGATGAGCTGAAGTCGAAGGTGGAAAGGTTAGAAGGAAATGGTGGACGTCCTTTTGCTGCTCGGCCCTCCAACCTACAAGCAATGGCCTTCAACCTACTAGCAAACACCCTACAAAGCTTTACAGTTTGTTGCATCGTGTTCAAACCACGGTTCTTTAACCAAGCTTTCCCTAGTTGCCATTGCTCGGCTTCTTTTAACCAAGGTTGCTCCAGGGCAGTTGAATGAGCCTGCACGACAGGAGCGGGATGGACAAAGTATCAGGGACGACAAGGAGCAAAGGGCATCGCTACTAGGACAGGTGCATCGCTTCTAGTAACAAGTGCCTTACTAGTAGTAACAAGAAGCTACTAGGAGCAAGGACGCTACTAGGGGCTCCTGGCCATACTACTAGGAGCAAGAAGCTAATAGCAAAAGGAACCTGGTAGCGATGGCCTCCAACCTAATAGCGATGGCTCGCCAAATTAAACTGTGCGTGGTGCGATTGAAAGGAAGGTCTAAAGGCGACAAAAAGATGAAGTTACTTTACTTCCAGTGACTCTCATTGTGGCATTTCAGACAGTTGTACTGCGTCCAGTCAAGTCGCTGTCAGTTGCAGTAGAGCTTCTCTGATAGTTCAAACACGTGTGAGGTGTCTAAGCATGCCTTAAACAAGCACAAACATGTCAGCCATCACCTGGAACAACAGATACTAAACATGCCACAGGCCGTCTTGCACAAGGCAGTTTAGCCCAGCGTATCAAGACAGTTTCGGAGTTGGAGCGCAAAGCTAGAGGTCTTCTTTGCCAGATTTGTGAGCTTCATTTGCAAGCGTGGCAGACTTAAATCAGCAGGCGCAAAGCATGTAGTCATGAAACTGGCATGTCGGAACACTTGCCAGACGAATGTCAGAACTGATGTTTGATCGTCAGAATGTATACCAGACACACACCAGAACAAATATCACCATATTTCGGAACACGTGAAAAACATAATTCTCTTCTTCAAAGAGCTGGGCATGAAGCAAGCCATCTATACTACCACAACGCCTGAACTCCCGGACATCCTGCACCGCACGAATCAGCCAATCCCTGACACAAATATGTTCTTTGTAAACGACACAGTGAACAACAAATCAACCAACTCAGCCTCTCTAGTCAAACGATAACGGCGAATCTCTTCCTGCCTTTGGCAAACTTCTTCTCCAACGACCCTTTCTCAAGGCCTGCAGCCATTGCTGGAAGGTTATAAGACATCGCTAGTAGGTTGGAGGCCATCGCTATTAGAAGCAAAGAAAGAAGTAAAGGAAGAAAGGTCTAACATAGTTTGCTTTTAGGTTGGAGGCCATTGCTACTAGAGAGGGGCATAGAGGAGTGGGTGAAACCTTTGGTGTTTATTTATATCTGGTACACACTTGCTACTAGTAACTTCTTGCTACTAGTAGCCAGGTGCTTCGCTACTAGTGACAAGTGCAGCACTACTAGTAGCAAATAGCTACTAGTAGCTTCTTGCTACTAGTCGAAATGCTCTTGTTGCTAGTGGGTGAACTTTGTGTTTATATTGGAGGCAAAGGCGGAAGGAAGAGGAATGATAGCGGATCGAGTGAGTCAGTGGAGTGAGGTGAGGTGAGTGGGTAAGCTCACTCGTGAATGAGAGGACGGCTGTCGGGCTGCAGAATGTAGATCAAAGTTAGAGCACGAAATATGTAAACCATATTCAACAAAAACATAAGGTACTATTAAAAAACACAAATATATATATATATATACCGTATACCTTCAAAAAGTACTAGAAACCTAATGCCCAAAATAATGATTCTTAATCAATAACGATAACTTTGTCAAGCCCTTGCAACAGAGGTAAAGGGTTTTAATGATTTTTTGCCCTTTATGATGTGTTGCTCCTCGGCCTCGGCTCGGCTCCAGTTCTTGGTTTTGTTGCGCTTTTCCGTCGGGTGAGAGCGATATTGCAGCGATATGTTACATTTTGCCTCACTTTGCGGTTGCCGCCTTCCTGGCATCGCTACTAGGAGCAAGGACGCTACTAGTAACAAGTGCATCGCTAGTAGTAACAAGTGCCTTACTAGTAGTAACAAGAAGCTACTAGGGGCTCCTGGCATCGCTACTAGGAGCAAGTGCAACGCTACTAGGGTGGAGGCCATCGCTAGTAGCTTCTAGCGTATTGGCCCAAAGCGTACCGAATTGTACCGACCTTTCGGTCGCTTCTGTACTAGTAGCGAGGCACTTGTTACTAGTAGCGTCCTTGCTCCTAGTGGCGATGCCAGGAGCCCCTAGTAGCTTCTTGTTACTACTTAGTAAGGCACTTGTTACTACTAGCGATGCACTTGTTCCTAGTAGCTTCTTGTTCCACTTTGCGCTTTGGATCTTTTTGTGGGGTGTTTGATTCCTCGTGATTAGGCTAGCTCCACATAGCTCAACACTCAACTGATTGTGTGCCTTCGGGGTCAATTGGAAATCCTGCAAGGAATCCCTTTTAATGTGTGCTACTTCGTTTAATGTGTGTCTTACTATACCAGGCTTCTACACATGCTACTAGTAACAAGAAGCTACTACCTGGCCTTACTAGGAGCAAGGACGCTACTAGGGGCTCCTGGCATCGCTACTAGGAGCAAGAAGCTATTAGCTTTTTGTTTCTACTAGCTTCTTGTTACTACTAGTAAGGCACTTGTTACTAGTATCGATGCACTTGTTACTAGTAGCTTCTCGTTACTAGTAAGGCACTTGTTACTACTAGCGATGCACTTGTTACTACCAGTAACACGAAGCCGCTGGCACGTGCCGCTCCGGCAAAAGACCGTCCACCAGGATCCATCACAATGGAGACACGAAGACATGGAGCAGGCGACGACGGCGAAGACCTGCCGGAAAGGAAAGAGCTGTGAAAGAGTTGGGAAACGAATTTTCAGAAGAAAGGTTTCAAGATTCAAGATAAATATGAAAAGATATGAGAAGGCGCTTTAAACCTGCCACCTGCCTTCTTTGATTTTCGCTGTTTTTGAGGCCCATCAACACATCATGTATCTGGAGATGAAGGTTCGAGCATTGGAAGAGCTCGAGCGGAAAAATGAGGACTCCCTGAAAGTCTGACGATTTGGTGGAACAATTGCTAGTAGTAAGGGCATCGCTACTAGCAGCTAGAAGCTACTAGTAGCGATGGCCTCCAACCGACTAGCGATGGCATCCAACGTACTAGCTTCTTGCTCCTGGTAGCGAATGCCCTTTGTTACTAGTAGCTTCTTGTTACTAGTAGTAAGGCCAGGAGCCCCTAGTAGCATCCTTGCTAGTAGTAGCGATGCACTTGTTACTAATGAGTCCTCACAGCACCTCGCACATCGCGTGACAGCGACTGAGTCCTCAGTTGGTCAGGACCTGGAACAACAAGTTCAAACGCTGGAGAGGGAGAAGCGACCCGAAAGAAAAGTCCTTGCATTCTTTATGGAAACGCCTTACTTGTTCCTTCAGACTACTCTTTGCTTCAACAGACTCTTGTACTTTTACAGATTAGTTCACCTTGAATTTGTTCTTGGCACAATAGTAGCTTCGTGTTACTAGTATTAAAAATGCTCCTAGTAGCGATGACAGGACCCCCTAGTAGCGTCCTTGCTCCTAGTGGCAGTTGTTCTTGGCTGTTCCAAGCTTTTCCCTACGACGCCTAGGTCGGCTGGTGGTTGCGAGATTTCCTGAGTTTGGAAGCGTTTCTTGCTGCGGTGAGTAGTGCCCAGCATGTCACCACGAGAAGGCCCTGGAGATCGACAGAGGATTCGAAGCTACTAGTAGCCAAGGGCATTTCTACTCGTAACAAGAATTATAGGAGTTAAAACATGGAGTTTCTTGCAACTAGTAGCGTCCTTGCTCCTGTAGCGATGGAAACAAGATGAGTGCTTTCTGTTTCACAGTGCCCCCTTCTTAAGCTACTAGGGGCTCCTGGCCTTATGACTAGGAGCAAGGACGCTATTAGGGTCTCCTGGCATCGCTACTAGGAACAAGGACGCTACCAGGAGCAAAGACGCTTGATTTCATTGTATTCTGTTTGTCTGTATTATCTTATCAAGTGCACTGAGAGCATTGCTTCGCTCTCCGGGCCAAAGTGGGCACTTGCCAACCTGCCGCTGAAAGCGTGCGGGCGGACCGACCCAAGTTAGAGGAGAGTGAAGGCAAACTGTGACCCTTCGGATTTCGATTTTGGTCACGCTTTTCACAAGCTCTTGTTACTAGTAGCAAGAATGCTCCGTTCGTAGTATGGCCAGGAGCCCCTAGTAGCGATGCCAGGAACCCCGTTCGTAGCGATGCCCTTTGTTACTAGTAGCGTGGCACTTGTTTCTAATAGCTTCTTGTTACTACCGTCGCATATACGAACGCGTCTAATTAGGTTTGAAGCCATCGGAAGTAGGTTGGAGGCCATCGCTAGTTTGTGCAATGGAGATAAATGTCACAGAGCTTCATGGACTTCCGCCAGGAAGCCCAAGAACCTGCGATTGTGATCTAGCCAAAGCATCAGCCCAAGCTGGAGAGAGGCTCTCCCGATTTCTTCGAATATCGGCCTAAAAAATGAGCTACTAGGAACAAGGAGCTACACGGCCTGGCAGTTCGATGTTCTGCGGTCTTCATTGCTCCTAGTAGTAAGGCCAGGAGCCCCTAGTAGCGTCCGTGGCCCCTAGTAGCGATGGCCTCCAAACTCGCACTTTTCATACCAGTAGCGTCCTTTCAGCGTCCAATTGAGGGAGGAGAATGTGTGATGGTTCCTGGTCTCGGGGTTCCACCGTTTCGCATGGAACAAGATGAACTCCGACTATCACCACCCCGACTCCAGCAACACAGCCACAAGCCGTCACAGGCCCCGATGCCCTTCTTTTCAAACCGCGAAGTGGTAAAGGGAGGGTCATTTAATTTAGGATTTTTTTGTTTCTCGTGGCTTTTGTGGCTTCCGTGGCTTTTGTGGCTTTTGTGGCTTCCGTGGCTTTTGTGGCTTTTGGCTTTGGTGGCGTTTGGCTTTCGTTGCTTTCGTGGCTTCTGGCTGTTTGCGACTAGTCCATCTTTGGAGGAATGTGAAGTCCGAGGCACAGCTACCAGATGTAAGACGGTCTTGTTTTCATCCAGACGATTCCTTTGGTGGCTTTTCGCTTTTGGTTGCTTTTGATGACTTTGGCTTTCGGTTGCTTTTTTGCCTTTTCGTGGCTTCGGCTGGCTTCTGTTGGCTTTTCGTGTCTTCATTCACTGATATGCTGTAAATATGCCTGGCTGTTTGCCAGCTACGACAGCTCCCAAATCTGTCTACCTATCCATCTATTTGTCTATATCTATCGATCTATCTATCTATCTATCTTTCTATCTGTGTGTCTATCCATCTATCTATCTATTTTTCTTTCTTTCTGTCTCTTTTTCTTTCTTTCTGTCTTTCTCTTTGGCAGCTGTTCTCCTTTCTCTTTTTGCTTTTGCTTTTCCATTTGTTTGCTTTGCAGAGAAGAAGCCAAACAAGGAAGGAAGCAAGCACGAGCTGCTCACCTTTGGATCTGGGGGGGGGGGCGCTGCGCCCCCCCAAAAATGTTAAAAACGTTACTTCAAAGAAGTTTGCTAAACTCAAATTATAGCCATATAAAAACTCAAAAAATATTAACAAAAATCACAACAGACTACCACATATAACCTCATTCATTGTTCAAAATCATTACAGTGAATACATAACTATCTAATTCTTTCCACAAAATCATCACTACTAACCATCTATTACCTCATCCCTTTTATTGAAACCACAACAGTCAATACATCATCACCTCATCCATTCCATACCCAAAACAAAACAACCAAGCAACAAACAAAAAACAAACCTAAAGAATAACGTAAGAAAAACAAAACAATAGACAACCATATAGCATAACCCCTCACCTTTAATAATCCAATCTTCAAATCCATAATTCTAATGGATGTTATTAGAAATATGTTAGTAGTAAATGTCTTCAATAACTGTTAACTTAAAATGAAAGGCTTGTATTCTATTATACTATCTTTCTTTTGGTCTCCTTCAATAGCGGTTCTTATTTCTTTAACTGCTTTATGTAATACTTCATCTATATCATCTTCATCTACATATTCATCAAAGTCATTCATAAAGTAAATCTCTCCATAGCTACATTCATTTTTCCATATTCCTTTTCTGGGAGTTTTGCCACCAATTGAACTTCAATATCAAGTTTAACTCTATAATTTAAATCATCTTCTACGTCTTCATAAATCAAAGGTAGTAATTCTTCTTGTTCTTCTGTTATTATGTCTTCTATGCTTTTCAAACTAAATGACACTCCCTCTCTCATAATACAGTATTCAATTTTGTATATCTTGTTTCTTGACTTCATCTGTCTTGCCATTTTAGGACCAAGTCTTGAAATCTTGTATTTTCACTCCATGTAATATGTATGCTTTTACCATGCACATATGTATAGGATGTCATTGCACTCACTTCTGCAGCTCGCGGTCCAAAAGGGTATCGTAGCTTAACGGCTGTTTCTATAGGTTATCAGCCGTAGTGCTCTAACCACAGCCATGGATACTCTCGCTATCCCAGGGAATGCCACATCATCAGTCGCTGTGCCAGCCGGTCTCGCGACTGAGCCCCGTGTAGATCTAGATGATCCCATGGGTTCAGCCCCGGTCACGGCATACTTCCAATTCGTGCAGCAGAACATTCAGCAAGTGTACAATGGTAACGAGGATGCCATCATTGCTGAGGCTGAACGAAGGCACAAGGAGGTATTAGCACAATGGATGGACACGGTAAAAGCCAAGTTCCACCAGGCGATTCTTGAGGTAGAAGGCAGACACCATGAGGAGGTTAGTTCAGTGAAACAGCTATGACAAGTTGCAAGCAGAGCTTAGCGCTGCCAAAGCACGTATATTCAAGCTAGAAAACGACAGAGCATTGGAAGCTGAAGCGAAGAAAGCAGAGACGGATTCTCTCCGTACACAACTCACATTCGAGTGTCAGCAAACAGTGAATGCGATCACAGAGAGTGCTGAACAAGGTGTAGTGAGACTTCGCGCAGAGTTCGATGAACGAGAGCTCAAACTCCAGCGTGATTTGAGAGAGGCAGAAAATGAAAACTATAGCCTACAACAAATCATCGATGACTTGAGGGCAGGCAACAAAGTCACTGATGAACCAGAGTATGCCCCGACAAGTGTAATTGCTTCGCCAATTGAAACACCTAGGGAAGGCGAGCGTGAAAAGAAAGGTACCTTAGAGACCATTGCTGCAGAGGCTAGTGCGCGTCTGAGCGGGTTGTTTGGACCCAAGGTGCCAACATCACCGGTGATGCCCCAATCGGGGCAGCCGCTCCAATCAAGCCGGTGCTTCGAGTTTACGGAGGTACTGCAGCAGATGGTGGCAAGACGCCGACTCACATATTTCACAGCCCTGCACCTTCAATTCGTGAGCCCCACAAGCCAGCTTCGTCAGGTGCCATCACCTCCTGAGCAGGTGATTGAACTGGTCAAGTCACTCACTCAAAGAGAATCGGATGAGAAGCCAAAGGTCAAGGAAGCAGATCATATCAAGTTGAATGATATGCCAACCCCTGAAACCTATCGGCAATGGAAACATCATGTGAGGGACGAAATCAAGTCATGTTCTGACAAACCAGATGCAGCCTGGGACTAGTTGATGGAGGTTTACAACACCGTTGATGAGAGAAAGGTTCTGGAAGAGCGGTTGTCAAACCCCGGTAAGTTCACAACGTTGGACACCAAGCTGGCGGCCGCATTGACCAGAAGTGCAAAGGGTGATCTAGCTAACCGAATCATCAATTACAAAGAAGAGGAGGCAAAGCTAGGCATCCAGGTTCGTGGAAGGATGATTCTTCTCATGTTTGATGACTATTTCAAGACCTCAGAAGAAGCAGGTAGCCTTTACAGGGTTGAAGATCTCCTCAATGTGGTGAAGGTAGGCGACACCGTGGCGGATTTGAAGCGCTTCATCAACCGCTGGGACGCTACCATCGCCGGTATGCCCGAACCACCGCACGAAAACGTGCTTCGGGACATCCTTTTGAGGCAGATCCGTATACTAGCACAGTCTTGAGGTATGACATCGATCTGTTTGATCGTGCAAAAGAAGGTGACCACCATCGGTCTTACAAGTTCCTACTGCAAAGCATCAAGGATTTGATAGATCGGGAGCGCCTCCGAGAGAACCGGTCACGCATCGCTGAGCGAAACCGGCTCAAGCCAGGTGACCGACGTGAGAAGAACGCAGCTCCAACAGTTGATCCTCGGCGAAAGCGTTCACCATCGCGTGGGCGGCCAACTTCCCGGGAGAAGGGAATTTGTTGGGCCTTTTTGGAGGGTAAGTGTGCAAAAGGGAAGGATTGCAAGTTCAAGCGTGAGAAGCCCAAACGTGACCCTTCCAAGAAGCGTCAACCATCTCGGGAGCGGAATGAGTCGAGGGACAAGAGCACAGACAAAGAAAAGAAGCGTATGACTAAGGAAGAGATGGCAAGAACCCCTTGCAGGTACGATCAGCAAGGTACTTGTAGGAGAGAGGACAAGTGCTTTTTCAAACATGGAGAAAAGGCAGCGCCGGCTCCAAAGACGAAGCCACGGAAGGATTCCCCAAAGCCAGGGAAAGCGAAAGGGGACCCTAAGAACGCTGCCATTTGCCTAAGCAATCGGTTTGCATGTCTAGCAACTGGTGTGCCTGGTCGACCCTGTCTCAAGAAGCTCTGTCTTCCTCCAGCACGGAAAAGGTCCAAGTCACTCGCCCGAAGGATTACGTTCGT